GGGTGTCCCTGGGGCACTCCCGGAATCTACTCTCTTCCAGAAAGCATGGAGATTTCCCGAAGCAACAGTCTTCTAGGGATTTTCCAGTCCATTTTTTTGTGCCTGTATTTTTTCCAATTCATTTTTTCCCGTTCTTTTTAAATATATTTTTTTGTTGTTTCTTAAAATTGATGACATTTTCCCCCACCTAAGCCCCTACCCATATTTCTGTTATTTTTTTTTACATGTATTTATTTATTTGAGGGGGGAGGAGCAGAGAGAGAAAGAGAGAGAGAGATTCTCAAGCAGACTCCCTGCTGATTGCTGAGCCCGACGCGGGGCTTGATCTCACCACCCTGAGCATGACCAGAGCTGAAATCAAGACGCCCAACCAACTGAGTCACCCAGGCGCCCCTACCCATGGTTCTTACCTCTGGGTATAAACACACATACGTGTTTTATTTTCCCCTAAATAGACTTATATTCTGCGCGCATTCTTCAACTTACTTTTCACTTAATGCGACTTATTTACACATTCAGATCCAATATTGCTAAGTCTGCCTTCAGCATAACGCAGGTGGTGGGGTAACTGAACGGTCTGCTCTCAGCGGGTGCCCCCACGAGGCAGCTTTGTGTTCTCCCATGACGGCATCCTCACCGAGCTGCCTGGACTCTCCCCTTCTCCTCCCTAATGACGTCTTGGGCAAGTTCCCCAGCTTTCTGACCGATGTCAGTTCTTTTTACAGTCCACTCCCACTTAGTCTCATTGTTCCTCCCCTAAGACTCGAACCCTTGCTGAGAGAACCAGAAAGGGAAGATCTTGGTTGCTTGGTTCCCTCCCCCTCTCTCCCACATGCTTCCAGCTCCTCGGACCTCTTAGGGTGGGAGGGCTGGAGAAGGGTTCCGTCTTTCCCAGTGCCTCTGTGGACCACTGGAACTTGGTTGCTGCCTCTCTGGCCGGCTCTGACCAGCTGTCGGGGCCCTCTCTTGGGTTCTGGCCACCCAAGCCTGGATACCTTCCTCAGAGTCCAGTGGAATGTTAGCCATCAGATAGGGGAGTATAGGAAACTCCTCTGCACCCACCACTGGACCCACCATGGCCTCCAGTTTTCTTTCCTCCTCGTTGGATCTTCAGAAGGCAGAGCAGCAAGCCCCCTGCAGGCCCTGCCCCCTGACTGTGGAGGGAAGTGTCAGTCTCCCCTTCCGGCACATACCCCCAGCCTCAACCAGTGGTTCTCCTGCAGGCATCCTCACCTGGCTTGGGGTAGAGGGGAGAAATCCCCCTTCCCCATGGGGAGGGAGGGGAAGAGCCACAGATTTTCCAAGTGGTCGAACACTTCTGGGATTGGGCG